ACGAAGAAGGAAGTATCCTTTATACAGGTTATAATACCTTGAAAATAGATGTTATTTGTTTCAAAGGAAACAACCTTTTGTTAACCCCTTGTCTTCCAATAACGTGTCAGACTCGTGCTGAAGATTTTAAATAGAATTTAACAAACATAAACATTACTTAATTCTTTCGAATTCAAATTAAACATTATTCCTTTGTTATCAGTTATTATATTACAGAACAACTACAGGGATAGACTATACCTAGATTTTTTCTCTATTTCTTAACCCCTTCCCCTATGACTTATACCTCAACTGTACTTGGTAAAAGAACTTTATCCTTAATAATTTAATAGAAGAAGAAAAGAATCTTACATTCATTTTGTAGTTACGTTTACTAAAAATATTAAAGATTGATAATGGACAAACGATATTCAATTTACGTTAAAAATAAATACATAACATTTGGATTTGTTGAATTCAATTTCAAATTTTCATCGCGAGTCTGACACGTTGTTATAAAGCAAGGGATTAATAAAGTATTAATAGCAAAGTAGTTGTTCATAGTTGAAAAACAAATCGTAGGCCAATCTATTGGCCACATGCAAGAAACGTCATATATTGTTGCATCGACTCTAAAAGGCAGTGCTTACATCTAAATTTCTTTTTCTCTACTGTCGTGTATAAACATTACTCGTTTCCATATTCCTGACTGTCGGAAGTGGTGAACCTAATCCCTGGTAATGGAACGGGAAAGCGAACGCGGCGAGCGCAATCAATCAGGTGGTTAGCGTTCGTATGATTTCTTTTCGCAACGTAGCTTCCGTCAGCCGCCTTGACACGAAGATTATTACTGTTTCTAATGAACGTTATGATTAAAACCGGAGGGTTTAATTAAATCCAAGGATATTAATCTTTCAAAGGTCAGAGAAAGCTAGCTGGGTACGGCTGAACAAGGGCTTGTAATACCGTTTCGGTATTAACGTTCTGTTTCGATATTACTGGAGAACGAGATTGCACTTTTACGTTACGAATAATACGATCATTTTCGGGGTAGAAGATTCTCCCTCTTTAATCATTGCAATCATTATTCTTCGGAATGGAGAGCGTGTTATGGAGGCGTAGGGTGTTTCATAAGAATAGATTTGGATCGTTTCGAATGATGGGATGTATTAATGGATATAAGAAGTAAGAGCTTTTTCGTTTTTGCATTTCGATGATTGCGAAGGTAGGTAAAAGTTGAAATGGTTAATGTGTTCGCAGCTTTTAGCTGTCGCGTTTTAGAAAGAGAAACGGAAGAAACTTATAGCTACTGTTATATTTCTTTTATAAGAATTATAAGACTATAAATATTGTAAATATCGTAAGTATTGTAAATATTATAAACTATAATTTATATTATAGCTATGATATATATTATTAAATTTATAATTTAAATATTATAAATATTACAACTATTATTAAATAATAATATTTACAAATATTAGAATATTATAAATTACAATATAATTCTAATAAAATATATAACATATTATATAAAATCTACAAGATATAACATATATTAATTTCTAAATACCCACTTTAAATCTCAATATTCAAATTGTCACTGTTATAGCAAACGACCCATAAACTCTCAACCATTACAAAATGATTTCACAAGAATATGCGCCCGAGTGAATTAAAAAATTAAAAAGTGTCAATGAACCGTGCAGCACGTAAACGAACGGCCGGTACAAGAATCATTACGGTAAAAAATCCGTCGGTTTTAAAATCCACGAAGAGGCAATTTCGAAATCTGCAAGAAGACAATTTGAAGGGAGCCATAGTTGATGGAAGAACATTCAAGTTGAAGATGGCGTAAAGGAAAATCGCTTGAGCGAGTAATCTCGGCAAGAGAATTGCAAGCGTAAACCTCAAATGACCACGGAGCACTATAGTCCCTCATTATAGGTGCCACTACAAACCTGAAAATGAGGCGTAACTTCCTTTGTTTCATTGCCAGCGATTTGCACTCGAGTCTTCCGGATCAATTCCGACGGCAATTGTCCTTGAACGTCTGCGTGCAAACATTTCATTCTGGTTCTGCTCCAAGGTGACGAAAAATAGATTGGACGGAATTGTATAACGCTTGCAAAATCGAATGCCTGAACCGATTAAACAGGTTCTGCATACTCATTAACGGAAAATAATCGTTAACTGCCTCTCCCGGGGGGGAGAGCTCCTCGGGGACTGGCCACGGGAATTTCACGGTCGCGTAAATTACGTTCTTCCACGTGGTGCATAATGCCATTATTAAATAACGAAACAAAAAAAGCTTATCAAATAATGAAATCACTTTACACTATGCTAGTAATAAACTGTGCATCGACTCTACGGAGCGTATTATGTCTCGTATAAAACTGAAATTAATAGCGTTCCCAGCGATGTCAACGCGGAGTCTAGAGACAAATTTTATTCTATTTATTGTGTGCACTGGTAATTATCTGCGTTACATTTAATTAGAGTCTTATACATGAGTTATGTGCGTGAACATATTTGTATTCATCGAACGTTATAAATTTAGGAAAATTCTGATGAGATGGAATTGAATTGAGTAATGTGACTTTTTAATTGGGATATAGACATTTCATTTCTCGATCGTTAACAACGAAATTTGATTCGTTAGATGACTAATAAACGTGAAGTGATAAGTAATGAAAATAGAGTTATCAACGTCTGCTAATGAACATAGAAAATATTTCTCTTTTAAAATTTTTGAATACTTCATTTATTTATGGAAAATTTATATTATAGATAAACATTTATTAATATTATTTATAGAAATTAAAATGTGATTGATTAAGTAAAATATATTAATTGAGTAATCAATATTTCGAATTTGAAATATTTTTATATTAAATAATCAAATCGCTGGAAAAGAGAAATTATAAATTAGAAATTTAATTTCTTTTTATGGGACATAATGATATATCCTAATCGATAAAAATCGATCGGCATAAAAATGACCAGCATGAAAATTACAAATATCTTTCTCGTTTCTCGTAAATTTCACTTTAAACATCCAAATCAGATTTTTCTTCTCCGCAACGAGTGTTCCCGTCGTAATCCAAGAAATCTCCATTTTTCAACGGACACTCGACACAGACACTTAAAGGGTTAATCTCAGGAAAACAAGAAAAACGAACGATTCCAAAGCCGAACGTACGATCGCGTGACACTTGATTACTCCAAACAAAACCACGCACAATATAAAATATATTACAGTGTCCCCTCTCTAATCTCGCATTATACGGGACTTCATAATCCGATTATAAAATAACAGTGGACGCGTTATTACGATCGTTTCATCAGCTGATGGCTCGCGTCTGTCTCGTTCCATCTCGCTCGTTCAGGCAATTACAAGGTTGACGAAGCACGAGCATGGACGAAGCACACACTGGCCACTGGCGATGGGATCAAGTTCAATATGCACTTACAAATCCGAGTGAAATCCAATAACCAAAGTTCATATCATAAGGTTCGAATACTATTAATAACCCTCTATCACATGAATATTTATGAGGAGTCACAAAACTGTACAGGGTGAACATTTTAACTCGAGCACCTAAATTATTTCCCCTATTATTCGAAGCGAGGAAAAATTAACTACATACGATATTTAAATAGGATATTGTTTATCGCCATCACATGCACACCTTAACAATAGAACTACCGTGCCAGTCAAACTGACTAGTTTCGATTCTCTTGTGTCGCAATTATTGATATCACAAAAGCGTTGAACATTCGAAATAATTTTAGAAATGAATAGTTTCACTTGAATACTATAATGAATGCCTCAAGGAACTGAAAATAATCTATTGTTACAATTTTGTAGGGGTTACGTATCAATTATATTATATGCTCGGTAGTTCTAGTGTTGAAACCATGTAATTCTATTTAATCAATTTTTTCTTACTTTTAATAATAGCGGAAATAACTTATACATCGACGTGGTAATGAAATAAATAAAAAAGTATGAATAAATTTTTGTAACAGTTAGAATAACAGTTGTCAAATTCTAATTTGGCATAAGGTTAGAATACTATTACTAACCCTCTATTGCATGAATTTTTATGAGGAGTTAAACAAACATATATGTCTGTTATTTAAATA